CTACCTGAGATGCTTTTCTATGCCTCTCATGAATCAATTGGCAGGTGAGGCCAACATCAATGTTCACAACTTCCCCTCGTTCAGCAAGAAGGCCCTAGACCTTGAAGCAAAGATAAGGCATGGACATAATCCCACAACGGACGGTAGGAAAAAGACAATGCCTCCCAACTGGAAGGCGAAGGGCCGCATTATGTTTGTCGATAACGATGGTTCCACCGTCGAGTTAGATGACAACTTCTAGGAAGGAGTAGGTTCAGAGGCTGGCCGCGCAGAAGCTTCAGGGGGTGGAGTAGTCGCTGTCGTAGCTCAGAAAGCTCTCGGTCAAGGAGTCAAGTTGACCCCAACGCTCCCCCATGGGAGAAGGCGGGTCTCACAGAGGACGAGAGATCGGTATACACGGCAGGCTTGTATCCGTTGTGGCCAATATGGCCATAATCAATTCAAGTGCCAAAACAAGAAGGTGACCAACAAGATCCCGCCTATGATGGGGCAGGCGTTCCTCTGCTCCCGTTGGTAGCAATGTAGCTAGCTCTTCTGGCACTGCTCCGGGAAACACGTCGGGCTAGTAGGAATAGTAGTTGTTCTTGCTAGGGTCGAGGTGGTGGACAGACCCTCACCATCTCGAGAGATGGCCCAAGCTACTGACTCCATAGTCGTCCAGCAAACACGTTCAGACCAATCGAGCCTTTCTTCGATGAATGTGTTTGAGTCCTTAGAGGAGCTAGAGGAGGAGTGGTCTAGATCAGACCCGCGAGCTTCTTGGACGGCGTTAGTCAAAGTCCCTAAGGGTGAGATGTTCGTCAGCGAGGTGGTCATTGGCGGCCCCAAGGCTGGGGCCTATTATGACACTTGCTCAACTAGGAACTTTATCAGTCGCGCGTGCGTTGAGAGGCTGCGCTTACAGGGGCGAGTGGGCGAGTGAAGCGTTGGATCGAAGTCGTTGAACAATATGACTTTGACCCTCAGTATCTGATTGGGGAGTACAACAAGGTTGCTGATGCCTTGTCGCGTAGACCTGACTTCTCAGGTGCGCTGATTACTGAGTTCGATCTGACAGGCGATGTTACTCGCTCTTTGGTGGAGGCCTATTGAGAGGATCAGCTTATGTTTGAGATCACGCGCAGACTAGAGGCGAAGGACAAAAATACTTCTGCCGAGTTTGAGTTGGTCAACGGCTTGCTGTTCCTTGAGAAAACAGGGAATAAACGTTTGTGTGTACCTAATAGGGAGTCTTTGCGTAGTTTATTTTTAGGCAAATGTCATGATGCCACATGACATTTTGGGTTCAAGAAGACTGCGGCTAATCTGCTTCAGCGGTTCTAGTGGCCCACATTGGTGAGAGATGCTAAGTTGTACGTGGAGACTTGTCAAGTCTTTCAGAGGGACAAGCCACGTACTCAGGCTCCTCGTGGGCTCCTGAAGCCCCTTCCGATTCCAGAAAGGCCTGGTGAGAGCCTGTCCATGGACTTCATGGATACGCTGCTCACCAGCAAGAGTGGAATGCGCTACATCTACGTCATTGTGGATAGGTTTAGTAAGTTTGCTAGGTTAGTTGCAATGCCGGCAACAGCTAAGATGGAGTTTGTGATTAAAATGTTTAAAGAAAATTGGGTTAGAGATTTTGGATTGCCAAAGTCTATCGTTAGCGACCGGGACGTGCGATTCACATCCCGAATTGTGGAAAGCAGCAGCTGCAGAACAAGGCACGCAACTGCAGATGACATCAGGCAATCATCCCGAGGCAAACGGGCAGGCTGAACAAATGAACCGCGCTGTACAACACCTCTTAAGGCAATACATCAAGCCAAATCAGGTAGATTGGGATGAGAAACTTGCTCTCATCGCCTTTTTGTACAATAATGCTGTGCACAGCGCAACCGGAGTCAGTCCTAACAGCTTGCTACTGACCTTCAGACCTCGACTGCCTTTAGACTTTCTACTACCTGACAATCAGCCGACTGCTGCACCAGGGACTCTAGAGTTTGCGTATAGATATGAGCACTTGATGCAGCAGGCTGTTGAGCAGATGCACAAATCACAGGTGGCGATGATAGAATCTGAGAGCAAGCACAGTCGCCCATCTACATTCCAGGTAGGGGAAAGAGTCTGGGTGAAGTCCTCCAGACTGGGACAAGAGAACGGGATATCCCGTAAACTCATGCCACAGTACTTTGGACCGTGGGAGGTATTGGATGTCGTGGGGAATGAACCGGATGGCCCGTCTTATGTTATTCGCATCCCTGGTCACTTACGTACTTAGCCTGTCTTTCACGCCTCCAAGCTTGCACCTTTCAAGGAAACAGATCAGTTTCCTTCTTGATGCTCAATGCTGCCCCCAACCATGGATGGAGAGGTGGACACAGATGACATCGTGGATCACAGGGAGCTGCCCGTTCCGGGACGTCCTCCGAAACCGAAGCTGCAGTACCGAGTTTGGCTCCGACATCATCTGGATCCAAAGGAGGACCGCTGGTTCACTAGGGAGGAACTCATGCAGACCGCTCCTCAGATCGTAGCTCAATATGAGAAATCTCTGCAGAAGGGAAAGCGCCAGATCATCGAAGACTGAACTTCTCAGAGGACTAGTGAAGTTATGGAGGAGGGAATGCGAGGCTTATGCCCCTATGAGCCCCTTTCAGGCCCTGCCAAATATCACGTGAAGGCAGGCACGACGAGGGCCTGAGGGCCCCTATATCAGTCACCACACAACTAAGGAAATTCAGGCAGTTGCGCAGCGCCAGTTGGTTGCAAGAACCCACGCCCTTTGGCAGCCTGTTTGAATGTGTCGAAGGCAGGCCCTGGGCTGGATACGGGATGTGGGCCGTCGACAGTTGGGCTTGAGCAACCACTACAGGCCCAGGCCCTGAGTTGTGTGGACTGGGCCTCAGCCTACCGGGGCCTACCGGAAGCTTCTTGGGAAAGGCCCAGCGCAGCCTGTGACAGCAAGAAGGCAGGCCATTTCCATATAGCAAAGGGCCTGCCTCCGCATTTGGCATTCGGGTGCTGGCTGCATGCTGCGCAAGCGCTGCCGTGCTGAAGCTGGCTGCATGCTGTGCAAGCGCTGCCGTGCTGAAGCTGGCTGGCACTCACGCGCTCACGGGCGAGCAGGAAGAAGCAGGCAGCCATAGCCGAGCTGCGCTGCTGTGAGCTGGGTGTGGCGCAGGGTGGTCCTTGGGTGCAAGTGGCATCTGTGTGTTGGGGAACGAGGTTTTGAGTGAGGCGAGAGACATACCTGGTGCTGGAAGCGTGCGACATTGGTTGCTGTATGCTCGCACTTCGGGAAAGCTGTTGACGTCATCTTCGGCATTGTAGTCTAGGCTAGATAGGATCTGCCATCTGTAGTCTGGGCGCCGAGCGCCAGATAGGATATCAACATGGTTCTTCGTTGATAATGATGATGAGGCAATTTCAGCATTGTCAATTATGAGCTCTTGGTGTGTTCTTATTTGGTGAAACTCGTGATGCAATTCTGCTGTTGGTTCGAGGTCACGACTATCTGGTCTTATGTGTATGATGCTGTTTGACTGCTGAAGTTCGCTATTGCTCATCTTCCGTGCACTATTTCTCTTGCCTCCCGTTTTCTCTGTCGTGCACAATTCTACCGTATACCATCTCTCAAGGGTCAGAACTTGTTCCGGGACCCACAGGTCCGACACCGTCCTCTGGAAACGAGACATTGTATCAGATATCACATTCATGATTATTGGAGACATTCATCTGAGTTGAGTTACTCCATAATTCGACATCTGGCGAGTATCTTCAAGCCTGGGGTCATTACATTACTACCTACGAGCCTGTTTCGGTCGACCCTGATTTTCACTGCGCACGGAGTTTTGCCGAGCCTGAGGTCAGTTGTGTTTTCTGAGAAAGGAAAAAAAAAGCATGGCCAGACTTTCAAAAAACGATGTACTCACAACCACAAAAAAAGAAAAACGAACATCCCTCTGGACGTAATACAAGGTAGATACCTGCCCCAAAGTTGTTGTGTGAGTATGCCCTCAGTGAGAGGGCGTTACGGCAGGGGTAATAGGTCCACGGAAAAAAAAGGGGGAATAAAAAATTGAGACTGAACTTAAGGACGGGAAAGTGGGTTCATACATTCTGCAAAGTTGTAGCGTGGGCATGTCGTCCTTCATGAAGTGTCAGCAACCCGTGGACTGCCGTGTCTCCCGGGAACGGCACGAAAACAAACAAAAGTACAAAAACGAAAACACCAGCAACGAAAACCTGAAACTGGTCACAATCGTAGTTAGATACTTTCTTGTGAGTATTGGCGTGAGCACAACTTCGTGCACGGCCTTCCCGGACTTGGTCTTTTGTTTTTGTTTTTGTTTTTCGAACGGGCCCACAAGGCCCAACTGCCGAGCCTCTGTGGACCCCCGAAAAGTTTGGGAAAAGTGGGAAAATAGCAAGTTTTCCCGTTTTTCCCAACAGTGACAGAGGTAGTGGTGGTTTAAGGTTCGATGTACTTCCTCCATCTATGTTTCTTTTTCAAAAACTCAACCACTGCTGTTGTTGTCTTTTTTTCTCTGCCTGCATATCCCCAATTTTTCGGTTCCATTATTCACACACTAATGGAGGTTTCATACACACTAATTTGAATTCCATCAATACCCCTTTCTCAGGCGGGCGGAGCTGCACTGGCTGTTCTTGTTGATATTTGTTTTATTGAGCTGCACCACTCTCTTGCACACTGCACAGCATGTTGGATGATGCGCCAGAACTATGTTTTCCATTTCTAAGCTATTGTATGATGTGCCTCCCTATGTGGTCTCCTGTGTGTCTCAGATAACAAAGGGATAAGCTTTGACACTTTTTCTGTCCAGAATTGCCATGCCTGGGAAAGGCACAGTGCGTGGACCTGGTTGTAGTTCTAGATATCAGCGGAACATGGCTGTGATTACTCCATCCTTCAGTGCCATTTGTGTAAAAAGTCCCTATCCATGTTGTCTCTCTTCTGAGCATCAACACATGTTTGTATTGGTGTTGTCTTGTTTCAGCTAAGGACGGGAAAACTGTTCCACTCATGGCTGTTTAGCCGCGTCCTGATGAGGGAGTGGTCTGAAGGTGATTTGAGTGTGTGGTCTTCGTCAAGGGCATACCTAATCCTGCCAATGGCAGATGCTGACCGGTTCTCTTCTGCCGAGAATGTTATGGGTATGATTGATTGGAAGGTTGTCGAAACAACGATGAATGAGGTAGAAGGTTGTTTGCCGGATGGACAGTCCGGTCAAGGACGGAGGAGGAAGCGAGGGCAAGGTGATGAGGCACCCCCTGTGCTTGACGAGGACACCTTGATGACACTGAGCGGTCCATATGACGTGAGTGCTGTTCGTGACAAGATCATCACGTTTAATGGTCAACAGTTCTATGTGCTTTCTGTAAGGAAAGATATCAATGCAGACAGTCCCTTCGGTGAGCGAAATGGCAAGAATCGTGTCTCCAAGGCGAAGACCTACACAGAATATTTTGCAAAGAAGTAAGCTTACTTGCTCCCAGTCTTCCTTTCACGAAGTTTTCAAAGATGTTGCCATTAGCGTTCGTCTTTGTGCATTGTTCCACTGCACATGGTCTGACTGGTGTTGCTGGTTTCAGTGTTTGGATGGGTGTGGTTCAATTCTGCAGTAGTGTTAGCATTTTCATGCGTGCTGGATTCCTCTTTTGTCTCAAATTATCCATAATATGCTGGGTTATGCCGACACCCTGTCCAGACGGACCGGACCAGACGGACTGGGGGGGGTCCGTACGACAAAACCAGACGAGCCAAAAAACGTCCCAGGACTTTTTTTTTTTTTTTTTTTGGGTCCGGACCGAGCTCACTGAGAGAAGCCCAAATCCGCAGAGAAACTTGTGAAAGGCATGTGTGTTTGGGCTGTCTCTTATACACATCTAGATGTGTGTAAACTCATGCCACAGTACTTTGGACCGTGGGAGGTATTGGATGTCGTGGGGAATGAACCGGATGGC